AGAACTTTAACAAACCATAAATTTTACCTATTCCGGTAAATTAGGTTAGCAGCTCAGCATTATGCTATGCCGGAAGTCAAGGCCCCAACACAGCGCTGATTTTCAGTGCTATCTTTCTAGTTTCATAATACTTCTATGCCTTACTGACAGCCCATACACAGCGACGTAATACTAATACCAATTATTATTTAACTTAGTAAAATTAATTATACAACAAAAAAAAAGTCTTTAAAATATTATCAATAATTGCCTACCATAAACATTAACAATATGGCGGATAACCTCTCCTCCATGCGCTCCGTCTAAAGAAAATTAATTTATATTTGATATTACCGTGTAGAAGTAGAAAATACCAAATAAAGTATATGGAGATAACATCAAACAACCTATCGATTACTTACTAAATATTACGTTCCATTAAATATATACAGAAGGTATGTATCATTATTATTAGACAACTATTTGCTACTGTTTATAAATATTTAAAGGCTAAATCTAATAAAAAACTACACGGCGTTGCAGGTAACATGTAAAGAACGGCCACGTCACTGAGTTAAACATCCTAAGAACATCAGAATGGTATGGCAACAGGCACCAAGTCAAGTATGAATGGACTCCCAAGTATGCCGCTTCATTTTTCAAAATCCCACCTTGCTCATGGGACATACCATATAGGTAATTTATCTCACAAGACAATATATTTAAAAATACCAAAAGAAAAATAAAAAGAAAATAAATGAATGAATGAATAATAATGATATCGAATGAAATTCAAACAAACAATTAAAAAGTCAATCAAAAAGTTATAAGTTAAGTAATGTGTCGTACATGGGCTTTTTGTGACCTATACTTCAGGTCCCTGCTTGTATGTTTTAGTAAATTGATAATGACTCGCATATACAGAACCTTTCGTTAAATCTCACAATAAATTAAAAGTTTATCCTAAAACAAAATAAACCCACAACACTATGTAAATTCTTAAGCATTTAAAATAACTGAAATTCGTTTTTGTAAGTAATTTGGAACTATAGTTAATCTTTATCTTAAACACTGTGTACACTTGCCGTTACATTGATAATAAATTATGATTATTACTTTCTTTCCAATTAAAAATTGAGTGTCTTTAAGACAGCACTTAACAGACTATTACTGAGCTACTGCGTAATTATTCGCTGGATTGGTGATGTTATTAAGTATACTTGGGTTTATTATAATTCAAGAGAGCGGGAGTTTTAATTTCCTAACCGGTCGAAACGCAAAAATAATATTGTACTACTGATTAATTGAAATTAAGTGTTATCGTAAGTTTAAGAAATTACTTTTAAAAACCTCTTATTCCCGCCAGTCTACTGGTCAACTTTCCGCTAACCGGAACATTGGACGCGTTTACTTTATGACAGCAAAAATATTCAATAATCATATTGCTATGGAACATACAGCGCTAGACGGGGGTGTAGCTAAAGATTATTCTGTTGTAGCTGCCAACAAATAGTAAACAATTGTTTGTATGTTCGATGCAGTGCGTTATAAATGGCATCGCTGCCGCATCTAACATATTGTAATGCAAATTGAACTGTAAATAAACGTCAGCGGAGCGTATCCCGCTGGCTGCGACTAAGAGCATTTGCATATCTTAACTACGAATACAGATGTTCGAGTGAGACGATATTATTCGGTTCGTTATGAATTCTTAGCATTTCCCGTATGTGTAAGGTTTGTTGTGACTTATGGACATAGACTAATATCGTATGACATTCACGAGTCTCTATCCAAAGCTTTTGCTTTTCTAGTCAACATATGTTAATTATAATAAAAAATTTCAACTGGCGAACTATCACGATGCATGAGATACAGCTTGGTGACAGACGGACAGACTGACAGACAGTATACGGATACTTTGAGTACGGAACCCTAAGAAACAAGTGTGATGTTTGTTTTCAACAATAATCACACTTGTTTAAAAAGTGTTCTTAAAAAGGCAAAAAAATAAAAAAAAGATTGCAATGAAAACAGTAGAAGATGAAGAAAAGGGATTCCGTAAAGTTATTTATTTAGCAGCATCGACAGACATTGTGTATATGAAGCTTTCATTCCTCCGCCCAACACTTGATGGCGCTGCGATCTATATAGAGCACGCTATCGTTTGTCACTTGGGAGGAAATAAGGTCACCAAAAATTTTAGACCAATATATCCGAGGATCAGGCTAGGCGCCTCGAGCGCCCGGCCACCCCAAGTCCGTCGGATCTGTAAAGGCCTCTGAGGCCACCAGTGGCTCATCCTGCCAAAAAAAAAAAGAGATCAATATGACCAGCAACAGATCGGTACACAGTGTAGTTTTATTTATAAACTTCCTAGTGTGCACAACCATAGTTGAAAGGCTACTTCGGTCTTTAAGACATTGTTTGTGTAATACGGTTAGATAAATATAATAGTTAATAAATATGGAGGAGATCACAGCATGTAATGGTAACATTTCCCTTATCTATATTGGAAGTGCAATTCACTGTGTTCATCACTACTTAATATAAAACAAAGTCGTCCCTCTGTCTGTCTGTCCCTATGTATTCCTAGATCTTTAAAACTATGCAACGGATCTTGATGCGGTTTTTTTACTAGATAGAGTGATTCAAGAGGAAGGTTTATATGTATAATACATAGCACCCGTGCGAAGCCGGGGCGGGTCGCTAGTATCTTAATACACATGACTTTGATGAATACGAAAAGATTCGAACAATGCGGCTCACAAGTCGGCAGGAAGAAATCGGCAAACGTCTTAAATAATTTAAGGACAATGGAGGCCGAGAAAGGTCGTTCGACCTCATACATTATTCCTGTGCGGTCGTGTGGCGATATCTCTCCCGTAACGGACGCCATTGATGGAATGACCGGCCGAGGCTGATTCTAGAAAGTGATTGTTTTCTCGGCACGGTCGTGTGATTTTGACGAGGCAGTTCTTTGCTGTATACGAGGCATTTCAGGGATATGTAATGACATTTGATATTTAACGTGTGATGTAAAATCTCTAGTCTTAATACGATGTACCGAAATGTTTTATAACGATTTTTTTTTTTTTCGGAAAACTGTTTTACGTATTCTAATGCAGTTTAATAATATTGTTTGGTTAGGAACATTTAGAAAGCCTTGCAGAAAGCATTTCTTCTTACGAATGGAATAAAATAGTTGTTATTTTAAGGTATCAATTACCTAGTCGCTTAATTGATCGATATAATTAATGATCTACTTTTTTTTTAAATGGACATATAGAAAAAAATGTAGGGTGTTTGATAGGTTGGCTGTATACAGCGTGACGTTACCATCGCGACAATAAATGAACACACGTCTAACGCTACTTGCCAATAATCATAAAAAAATATTAACGTTAAACATAATCCATAATTAAAAAAAATATTTTTTCAAACAAACTAATTAAGTAAAAAAGAAACAAAATTTGTCACACCTATACAACTACAACTGACTCTTTTTCTGAACTGACTGATTCAGAGACTTTTTCATTCGTTGCCACAGCGCCGCATTACAGGCCTTATCTTCTAACAGTATGTTTTGTCTCTTTAAAATTCATTCAACCCATTCATATGCTTTGTGACCTTTACGAATGAACTTCACGTTACAGTTTTATACGTAAGGATGTTGTAAAATTCTTTGTTTTGAAAAATTTTATAACTGTAAATATTAATTTTTAAAGAATGTAAATGTTTAATAAAATTTTAAAAAGATATCCTCTATATGTGTGTTCATTAATTGTCGCAATCGCTAGTTTTGAGACAATTATCGTACAAAATTGTTACACTACAAATATATTTCAATATTTCTATAATTAGGAATAAGGTTTAAAGTGTATAACGCCTAGGTGTTAAATAATTTGCACATCAATTGCGCGCGTGCGAAACAGTTTGGCGCCCAATATGGGACCAAACACGTCCGTGGCGGGAGCGAAGCGGAGGGAGCGTCAATGCATGAATATCTAAAACGGACTTATAATTCATAGAGTGCTGCGAATATCACTCACGGAGCTTCACACGCTTTGTGCTACTCCCTTAACATTTAATGCGCACGCCGTATGAAACGTTTCGTTTAAATGCCGCTTTGGTGAGTAATTGTTTCGAATGTGTTCCCGTGACAGTGTCGGAGGGATACCGCTTGGGAAATTTCCACAACGCCGCGTCCGCGTTTCGGATGTTTTGTGCGGGCTCGTAGTGAAATTGAACGGCGGCATCTATGTGCATACAGCAGCTTATTGTTTTGCTGGAACTCCGTAAACTGTACTATATACGGTTGTGAAGGAATGTTTTGGACGTTAATACAATTCACAAAGAGCCGACCCAATTGAGGCAGCTTATATCTATTATGCGGTCTGCTCATACAGAATTAAATGACACACTCAAGTGCACACTCAGTCTATTTCCTTTTCGACGTAATGGCTAATGTAGCTAATATAAACGTTCCTTGCAACTGACCTAATCTCAAAGCTCGCATTACTTTTTACTCAAAGCTCGCATTACTCGCATTACTTTTTTTAAAAAAAAAATGATTTTAACTTAAATATTTTTTTTTATAAAAGGGTGTAGCAATAAGTCTATTAGGTTTAAGTTTATTCTTAAGGATTCTATTTGTACACAGTGGTCTTGACAGATATGAAATTCGAAACCAAAAATCTGTCATTAATATGCATATAAGATTTACAAACAAGGTTTTTTTTGTCTATGTATAATATTTGAAACATTTAATAAGCGTCTTAGCAAGTTTTCCTCATCGGCATAGGTGCCTGCAAGGAGTGATGAAAATATACCATAATCTATACCCTTAATTTTTTTAAATGTTTGGTCATGTGTCATTTATACTGTTGCATGAATGGGCAGTCTGATACGGGGGAAAACCGTTTGATGGGCAATTTGTACTAGTGCATTTCGTCCTGGAGTCCAGGTTCCCTCTCTCAAAGTTTGGCAACGCTTCTGCAACCCTTCAGATGTTGTGAATGTAGATGGGTAGCGGTAATCTTTTACCAATTGTTGCTACATATTGTATCATAAACGGCGGCTCCGTGTTTATGGGGTGAAAGTTTCTGGATTCTAACTTGCGGTGGTAGGGCCACGCATCAGCCTCGATTGTTGCACGAATGGGCAGGCTTGTTCGGGTTAGTACCACGACCTTACAGAAGAACGGCTTAAAGTGGAAGTATAATACTTTCGCGTTTCGTCTGCTGAGTGAGGTGACCGGAGCCCAATTTTCAAGATAGTTAACGCATCCGGAACCCTCGGGTGTAGCATATGTCCATGGGCGGCGGTATTCACTTAACATCAGGTGAACCGTCTGCTCGTTTGGCAATTGTTGACATAAAAAAAATCTAACTATTCAATCCTTGGCAGATGTCCCGTACTTGGAGCTGGCTGAGCCCGACGAGGGCTATCACGGGCTGATCCGTGAGAACGAGACCCTCGTGGAGGTGGCCCCGGCCATCCGCGCCCGCGGGCCCCTCTGCTCCTTCCTCATCCTCAACAACAAGCACCATGGAGAGGCGCCATTCGAGGTACGTCACTCCAATTTACAACTTTGTTCACAATTGGAGAATGTTGATGAGGTCAATTTACCCACATCATTACTAAATTGTGCATATACCCTTTTTTGTCTAGTAAATTTATATATGTAAGATTTAATGTTTAATTATTTCTTGAGCAATAATTTACTTTACTCTTGTGATAGATCCGTGATAGCTCAGTGTCCGGGCGCTCGCCTTTAGTTCAATATACTCGAGCAACTTGAGTTCGATCCCCGGTGCCGGCACCAATGGACTTTTTAACTTTAAGTGCTGACTTATCACGTGCTCCGCGGTGAAGGAAAACATCGTGAGGAAACCTGCATATTTTCGAAATAATAACAAAAAAATATATATATTTCGAAGATATGTGAAGTCCGCCAATACGCAGTGGGACTGCGTGGTGGACTATGCCCTGATACCCTCTCTATAGAGGAGGCCTTTGCCGCATGTGCAGCGGGACATGTAAGGCTGTTACTTTACTTTACTTTTTTTGTGATAGATAGACTAATGCCCGATTTCTGAAACACTGATCATCGTAGATGTCAACTAATCAGCTGTCAAATGGCTTTTCTATCTATTGAACTTTACCATCATTCTGATCATTTAAGAAGATCATTCTTGTTAATTCAGAGAGTTTAACCATCCTTTTGGCAAATAAAATGAAATTTGAAATGCAATTTGACGGGTCATTAGTTGACATCTACGATGATGAGTGTTTCGGAAACCGAGCGTAAACCTCGGATAATATTGCAAAAGTCAATTAGTTTGAAGTTAAGAGTAAAATGAACAGTCTCTAGCGCATCTGAAATAACAGATAGACAAGAAACGAATTCATCAAACGTGGTTGAATAGGATTGACCCTATTGATGATATGTCCCATAATATGAAGATGACTGAAGGATTATTTCTTTATGGGTAGATGATAGTCTGTTTAAAACATGTAATGGATCTAAATACCATTAATAAATATTATATTCATGCAAAGGTCGCAATCATTATTTTCGTAGAACTATCTGGTCTAATCTGAAAACGTGGTACAGCTTGTAGGGTCGTAGTTAAAAAAGCAGCAATTACCAGTCACACTCTGAAAAAATAACTAACCCCTTAACGCGCAGCGATTTAGCATAGTAATTTACTAACTACTACTTTATTTTATCGTACAATTACTTCTCTAAGTTTTAGATTGTTCTAACACACTATTGTAGCATGCTATGGATTATAACTCACTTAAATTATGTAACGGTTCAATATTGAAAACGTTCACTGGTATCGAATTCAGTGAAAAAGCCGGGGACTTTCTTAAAACAGAAGCAGCTCCGACAGACGACTAGGTGCATGGCTTCGGGGATCTTAGATACCTTTGTATTGTAATCAAATTTAATTCAAATGATCTAATATTGACAAGATTAAATCTATCTAAAATTACCTAAAAAATTCAAATTCAAAAATCTGTTCAATATATAATCATTACAATTACTTATTCGGTTCAAAGAGATCTTTATTTTCTTATAAGAATATTACATTATTCACTTAAACTACGAGACGATTTTACATAAAAATATTAAATACAATATGGAAGTGTGGATAAACTGATATATGGATTAACTTTCTATTAAATACATTTTTAAATTTTTCTTTTGATTTGGGGATAATGAACAATTAATGATAGTCAAAATACTAATAGTGGTTTGCAAAAAAGCCCTTGACCTTAGAAGAACCGGCGAAAGAAATTCAGCGGGACAATTTGAAATTGCAATTGAAATACCTGACTAGCAATTTCATTTATCGGTCCGGAATAAAAACCGAAACGAATAGTCTTCCCTTTTCCAATGTGACTACGGTAGGTCGGTTTCTATTGTGTTTTTAAATACGCCCGGAATAGAATTGCAATTGTATTTTTTCAATTATTGGATATTTTAAAAAAAACTGTTAAATTTTGCAAGTTTATGTTTATCTATTCATGCGTAAATATATATAGTATTTGCACTGTCGATGCAAAATTAAAAATCACTGATGTTAAAATAATATTTGAGTAATGCGCTTCTCTTTTGGAAGTTCCTTGCTCAAAAATTATGTATATTTAATTCTTTAAAAGCTTTATTATTTACATTGACAAGAAACCTTGTGCGCCTTATTGTAAAAACATGATCCTAAAATATCTAAACAAGAGTCCTTTTACTTCTTTTTTCTTTTAATATCAGGAATTTTAATTGAAGTTTGTCCTTGGATTTAAAATAACACGCCATTCCCGATGCCGTTTCAACCCGGCCAGGCCAGGTGTTAGCGAAGGTTGTTTAATTATTCCATTTTCGCCCCCGCCCGTCCGTGGCACGTGCAATTGTCCAGGGACGCAGTTGTCACGGCAGTTTGCGGAATAAGCCATTGATTTTATCGCGTGGCGCTTTTATTTTGTTCCGTATACGATTTTAACTGGATCGGAGCCTCTGCAGAACACGAGTTGTTTTGTTCATAACGAAGGTATCGAGGGAACGCGCGAATTGCTTTTCATGAATGGAAGAAGGGAGTAAGTTTGACGTACTTGAGAAAATTATCATCTTTTTCAAACGACACTATGCATGGGGACGTACTCACTGTCTGTCGCGTTTAGGTAATAAATAGTAAGTCAATAATAAGAACAAAGCGCAAGGTAGCGATATATTTCAAAGACGCATGTCCATACTGCGTGTCGTTTGAAAAATAGAACGTATGATGCGGAAAGAGATAGCGTTCTATTGCAATTGCATTGGAGTCCAATTACACCAATTGGCGTAATTTGGGTGCCTCAGTTTCGATGCGCTTGTGTTATATCTACCTCGTATTTGTATATAATATCAATGATCCCATTATGGTTAAATTGGAAAGCAAGTTATAATATAAACCGGATTTAGGTCAGCTTTATATGAGGTCAGATAACTATTAGTATTTTCATTCGTGAATATTACAATGTAAATTGAGACAGTGTTTCTTGTGAAAAGTTATAAACTGATGGGATCTATATTTATAAGGGTCGTAGTGAACTAGAAATGCATGCAAATATTAAAGAGAGACAAATGAATAAAAACTTTTGACATGTATTATAAATAGCAATCCTTCACTGTATGAGTTGCTTTTTCCAAATGTATGTATGTTTACCAAGGCTAAACACGTTGCCACTATAAAGTGGCAAGTGGCAAAATTGATAACAATTACTTCTAGCGACGAACTAATACTTCTCTAACTGAAATGGTTTTGAAGACAACTACATAATTTAAGACGAACAAACAACCGCGCAGCTTTATTGCCTAACGCTGGTGGAAGGAAGGAATGAGGCTGAGAATTTAGTAAGAGCTCTGGCAACCGACCGCGTAATACTTTAATAATCCTAGGGCTTTATTTCTTTGAATTCTTTGTCTCAACTATTTATCTATATCGGTTGTTACGAGATAACGTATTTATAAAGCTAAGTCGCCCATACTTAAACAACATCGTTGCGTAATTAGTGGTCGGCTCTTTGGTTCGCGAATAGGCTGGTTAAGCCACGGGCGCGGATGTTAAATTTAAATCTTTTGCGACACTATATTCACGAAAGGGTGAATTATTGAAATACCATTTTATAATAGAATAACGAAAAATGGTGCTGCAAGAGGAGGTACGTAAACAATTGCAGAAACACAACCGTTTCCGTATCGAACAGAATTTACCTGCATATGAATATATACGTTACGTTGTTTGACTTATATAAGCTATTTGGTTGTCGCCTATCCGGTCCAACTGGCGGTGAGCTACGCACGAAGCCGTGTCGCAATATGCCGCCCTTCTATCCCGGATTACGTCCCGGCCGCTTTGTTACGAACGGGATTCGAAGCGGCAACCGGATTACGTATTCATTCGCTATTGCCTTGCAAATGTCTTAGTGCAGAACAATAATCCGAGATCGATTGAGACATGGATGGGAGAGTCCTTTGTAATACAGCGATTGTGAAATTATTGCGTTTGTTTATTTAAGGTTCCGCTTGTAATCGCTTCTTATCCAGATATTAATAAATTAGACAATAGTAAATTACAGACAGACAGTAATAAATTAATTTTAGACATGTTTATACATAGGCCTTGCTATGCACTACTATGTATTAGGCTTGTACTATGGGTCTAGTACCCACGTACCTGATAACAAGTAAACTTTTTTAAGCGTATGTAATTTATTTTTCATTATAAATATATAATAGATATAAAACACCCAGACATTAGAAAAATGCTATGTTCGTCACACAGTATTTCTCCAGTAGTGAAAATTGAACCTACATCCTCTGGCGCAAGAGAATGGTTCTACATCCACTACGCCAATAGAACGAAACAAATGTATTTATTGAAATTTTTTAAATGGTTTTTGGTTCCTCTTTGTTTATTCTCAATTGTTTACTTTTCGTCTTGAGCCGTAGTATCAACACAATTATTAGTGAATTTCATTTTTGTCGACACGTAATAACCACATCACTTGGCGTCTGAGAATACAAAAATAGAACTGGACGTGTCAGCTGAAGAGAGTTCATTCGCAATCGATAACGAACCGACATGCAGGTGGAAACCGCTTGGTTTTTGCATAGTCATTACATTATAATAAACCTTCGTATTTTATCAATAATTGTGTAAAGATGATATCAAAGAAGCATAATGTAATAAAGATTAAGAAACTTTGTCTGAAAACAATATCACACGTTACGACAATCCAATTTGCACTGTAGTAAGATTGTATGAATATTTAATGTACAATTTTGGAATAGAACTTTCAACTGTAATACGTTGATTGTTTTCTGTGAGAGTATTAATGAAACCGAACGACAACGTCGCATGTAATAGTAGAATTCGGATTTGTACCTGATTATCGGTTTTCGATTTAAATTTAATACTGTTACATTTTCTACGCGGTATTAGCGAGAAAATAAGACGACAAAAGAATTTGTATGTAAATTTTGATTTAAACTTTATGCTCGTGTTAATTCTGATTTTGAAATTTCTACGTCCCAAAAATTTTTTTACAATTATGTACACAGTACACACACCTAATTATCATCGCCTAGGATTAATGTTGGTGAAATAAAAATAATAATGGTTTTTAATTTTAAAATTAAAACCATTATTTTTATTTATTTATATATTTTAATAATAAAATAATAATCCTACAAACACAAACGAATAGATCTTCTAAGAGCTTTTCTGGGGTTATGTTTAAATTAATAATTCTGTTGTAAAATATTTAGAGATATAAAAAACGTTTAGAGCAACTTGAATTCACTTGCACAGTCACCCCACGCGCGCCTAAGTTGAATTAAAAAATTTCAAAGCTTTTTTTTATAGTGCCAATCTCTGCACTTAAGATTGAACATTAAAACATGTCGAAAAAGTACGAAGAGATTGTCGCCGCTGTGGGAATCGAACCCACGTCTTCGGCATTCGCGGCCTGACGCTCTAGCCACTGAGCTAAACGGCTGATAGCCACAGTGACGAAAATCTTAACGCCTTCTTTCCACATTGTTATTTAGCATTTGAAGCAATGCTTGGGGCATCTATTGTTATATCCTTTCCAGCATACAAACAATCTCGAATATCGTTTTACAACGATAATTCGAACGAGAGATGTCGCCGTTGCTTTTTATAAATTTTAAAGTTTTTTTTATAGTGCTAATCTCTGCACTTAAGATTGAACATTAAAACATGTAGAAAAAGTACGAAGAGATTGTCGCCGCTGTGGGAATCGAACCCACGTCGTTGTAAAACGATATTCGAGATTGTTTGTATGCTGGAAAGGATATAACAATAGATGCCCCAAGCATTGCTTCAAATGCTAAATAACAATGTGGAAAGAAGGCGTTAAGATTTTCGTCACTGTGGCTATCAGCCGTTTAGCTCAGTGGCTAGAGCGTCAGGCCGCGAATGCCGAAGACGTGGGTTCGATTCCCACAGCGGCGACAATCTCTTCGTACTTTTTCTACATGTTTTAATGTTCAATCTTAAGTGCAGAGATTAGCACTATAAAAAAAACTTTAAAATTTATAAAAAGCAATGGCGACATCTCTCGTTCGAATTATCGTTGTAAAACGATATTCGAGATTGTTTGTATGCTGGAAAGGATATAACAATAGATGCCCCAATTTCACCAACGCGTTAAAAAAGAAATAATTATCTTTTCCAGTTATCATAAATTTTTATTCCTTTCGTATTGATAATAAAGTCGCGCGAAAACTTGGAGCATTATGATTTTTCATGAATGAAATGCATTTTTTGTAAAACAGTGTCGTGGAAAGTTTTAATTGGCATTCTGCGCTCGTTTTTACTTGCTGTCACATTAAAATATATATTTGAAAATTATTTTACTATGTTATGTTACGGCGATATACCCCTATATATAATACCATGCCTTGTATGCCCTTGCCAAGTATCTATGCCTTGCGTGTGAGTTTATTAGAAGCGTTATGATGACTCCGCGGCACAGTCGCCAAGGTATTGGCTTTAGCGTAGAGGGTCGTGGGTTCGATCCCCACATGTGGCAACTATTTGTGTGACCCACCCACAGTTGTTTCGCATCTGGATGTTTGTCCACGTGAAATTTATGTATGTTAAACGTCCCTGCAACACAGGATAGTGTTATCCTAAAGTAAGAGCAATAAAAGAAAGAAAAAAAATATCTCAGTAAACATCAATGAATAATAAAGAATGAATAATCAAAAAATAATAAAGGTGGTACATGACTATACTGCGTGGCGTTTAATAATTTTAATATATATAATTGGATGTGACATTATATAGAACGTATGATACGGAAAGAGATAGCATATATAGAAATGCAATCTAATTACACCAATTGGCATAATTTAAGTTTTTTATAATATCATTGTTGATGACACGTTACAAGCGTCCATCAAAATCGTGCAAACACATATTTTTAATCGTAATGCAGTAGATCTTTGTAAAATCCAATACTCAAACCCAATGAAACTTAATTTAATACCTTATTTTATTAAGTACTAGCGACCCGGCTTCGCACCGGTGCACTCCTTACTAATATTATAAATGAGAAAGTTTGTATGTATGGATGGATGTTTGTTACTCTTTCACGCAAATACTACTGAATGGATTTTAATGAAACTTTTCAATAATATAGCTTATACATCAGAATAAGACATAATTTAGATACATGTTTTATGTATATCTGTCTTTCTGTCTGAATGTTACGCCTTCAGTCTATTCTACGCAGACGTAGTCGCGGGCAGCAGCTAGTGTATTATACATATAAACCTTCGTCTTGAATCGCTCTATCTAGTGTTAGCTATACTTTGTTTTATCGAGCTAAGAAGGTAGGAATATAAATACTTTTAGAAAATCAAAGTAGTTTACTTTGCATAACAATAACACTGTAACACTACAATTACTTATCTTCACTTTTAGACTACTAAAGAAACACCAATAACGATTTAATTTGTGATACCGATTGGGCAGCACTATCTTGTATACTTCTTGTTGACAGCCGAAGAAGAAGACCAGAAAATGCTTCGTGCAGCTTTATTTATACCTCATAGACGACACTTCTTTTAGTGTTGCCAACAACCTTAAGGAATGACTTCTTTTAACGCTGTCAACACTAGTAAAAAAGACTGCATCCAGATCCGTTACGTAGTTTTAAAGATATAAATAAACATAGGGATAGACAGACTGCGGAACGCCTTTTTATATACTGAATAGTGAAGCTATAGGTGTCAGTGGGACTTATTGTTTGCACATCGCTTTGATCACCTTATACTGATCTCGTGCGCTTCCTCCACAGATCATGGTCATCGATGAGAACGAGGCGCGGCTCCGAGTGCGGTACCCGCTCAACTGCGAGAAGAGGCGCAATTACAAATTCGACATCGCCGCCGTCGGTTGCGACGGCTCCTACTCCAACACGTGAGCGTTAACTATAATTGAGACAGATTCGGTAGTCTCTTTGGGGCTTTAAAGAGTCTAGAACGTAGTTGTGATAAGCTAGCTTAAGCAATTCAGACAGTTTATTGTTAAATTTAGTACAGTTGAAAGTTATGATTCGGCGCGGGGAATAAACTGACTAAAAAAGTGAATAAACTGAGAGCGTAGGAAGCGTATCCCGAGTGTTTGTTTGACTCTGTACCGTCGATTAATTCACCTTGGGTCACGAGTGTCTATTTCTCTCTCTACCGTCGACCACTGCACCTGACCATTCCTCTGCCTGGCAGGGTCCCGGTACACATCACCGTGGCGGACGTGAACGAGTATGCGCCGGTGTTCGGCCAGGCGGCCTACGTGCGCTCCGTGGACGAGGGCAAGGTCTACGATGAGATAGTGCGCGTCGAGGCGACAGACCGCGACTGCACGCCCCACTACGGCGAAGTGTGCAAGTACGAGATCCTCACCGAAGGCAACCAGCCTTTCGCCATAGACAACGACGGTGAGCCAGATGTACATTCTACATCATCGATAAGTACGCCGAGGTTACATAGGTCTCGAGACTGGACTGACTTTGACTAGATGGAGAATGTGGACTTTTATAAAAAAGTTGTTTCTATTTATCACCAAGAAGTACGTAGAGGTTATAGGTCTTAAGGCTGGGCTTGCTTCCGCTAGATCGAGAATGAAAACGTTAATGAACAATGCTATTAGTATTTATGTTGAAAACTTCGACCGTAATGGATTCTAGTACGTTAAATAAGAATGATATGCTGTTGTTTATACGCTGAAGGTTGTCTCGAGAAAGATTTATCTCTCTCTTAATTTTGTATTGCTATCAGTCATAATTGTATTTGTGTCTACATAAATAAGGTAAAGGTGCAGGCAAATAACAGGTCAATAACTAAACAGTTCTGATCTTAGTGTTATTTTTTGGGTTTTCTGTTCGCGTTCATTCTCACTGGCTGTCAGAAAAGAGAGAAGTTAAACAATAGTTTAACTAAACTATTGCTTAACTTAGCATCTGTGACTGTGCGCCGCTTTGTCCTCCTTTATTGGACGAAATGTATGTGTGACACTAAATTGGAAAAGCTGAAGATATTTAAATATAAATTTATTTTCGACGGAAAGTTTCGTGAATTAGCAACGATTCATGATCTCCTACAGGTGTAATCCGTAACACCGAGCCACTGGACTATGAGAAATCGCATAACCACATTCTATCGGTCGTGGCATACGACTGCGGGATGATGCAGTCCGCCCCGGTGATGGTCACCATCAAAGTGAACAAACCCTGCCGCGCGGGATGGAAGGGTATGCTTTATTGAAATACCAATATCTGTTTTGTGTTAAGCCATAATTAGTGGTGTAATTATATTGTCTCTAAAATTAAGCTCCTTCTAAAAAGGCAAAGGAGCTAATTGCACACAATGAGTTACACCAATTTAAATCAAGTTCGATGATACTGGTTCTTAACTAAAGGTTGGTAATGAATCTGCAACCCGTCATTTTTTAATGTGAAAAGTTGTAAATCGAGAATGCAGTTCACCTGATTTTAAGTGAATACCGTTGCCTATGGACATCTACAGCACCCGATGGCTGTTATGCTTAATACTTCCACGTGACGCCATTTTGTTCGGCCGTTGTACTTACCCGGACACGCAGTATGTCTCGGAGAACCTTCCATCCCGCCGGAAATTGGAGGAGGTGCGGCGTCCGCAGGTCTGGCCGAGAGAGTGGACTACGCGCCGGGCTCGGGCCCGCTGGCGCTGTTCCCCAGCGCCAGGCTGGAGGCGTGCTCCAGCGACGAGCGCTGCCCGGGCGTCACCAGGATCCAGGCCTTCGTGTCGCTGCAGGCCTCGCGCGCGGGCGCTGCCTGCGACCGCGACACCTACGCCATCCACGCCCAGCGCGCCATCTGCGGTGGGTCCACTTTCTTTTCTTATTTTAAAAACATTGCCCTCACTTTAGGATAACATTATCCTGTGTTGTAACATAAATTGCACGAGGACAAACACCCAGATGCGAAACAACTATCTGTGGGTCGCACAAATAGTTGTCCCGTGTGGGAATCGAACCCACGACCCCCGGCGCCGAAGCCAACACCTTGGCAACGGCGCCACGGAGTCATCATCTGTATCACCATCATCTGTCATCATCACCACTGTACTGAACACTTGATTGCTTCGCCTTTACTATAAGGTGCTGTGTGTGTGTGATATTATACATTGAGGTATTTTTTTATTAATACATTTCCTGACGCAACTTATCTGGACCACCGTAAGCTCCATTGACAAACGTCATTGTTTCCAAGGTCCGCGAAAACGATTACGCTCCGCCGTTTTTCAGCCATCGCCATTCATCAAAGGTTCCCCAGTCAGGTCTTTCCCATTTGATCCTATCCGTCTTTGCTCATATCTAGTATATGTTGCTCATGTCTGTTCTATCTGTTCAGGCTTATTTTCATTTAAAAGTTTATAAGAAATGTACTGCGAATATTTTTCACTTTTTGAGATTGCAACTCAATTCTAAGTCAAGCGCTTTAGTCACACATATTCAATTGAAATTATAAATGAAAAGAGTATGTAAAGATGTATGATATACTTTATATAATTTAATTTTGCTTTTAGGACTGGACCCTAAGACCGTCGATCTTCTGCCGGGCCCTGGAGAAGGCAACGAATGGGCCAAGTCCTTGAAACCTGACTCAGGTTAGTATATACTATTTCGTATTATATTTTTATATAGTAATATTTTTCGTTAATATCGTGTTTCAATTAGACATTTGATGTAATATCAACTTTATTATTATCATTATGTTAGCATGAGACAATAATCACTAGGTTAACATTTTATCAAGTTTAAATTATATATACTGTACCATATGCTATAACTATTCAATATGTCCAATTTGTCCAACCGCGGGACATGGAAATACATAGAAAGAAGAATTTGTGGAAGGTTAAAATTTGTAGGAAAAGTACGAAAAGATTGTCGCCGCTGTGGAAATCGAACCTACGTCTTCGGCATTCGCGACCTAACACTTAAGCCACTAAGCTAAACGGCTGATGGCCACAACAACGAAAATCTTATCGTCTTTTGTTACATTGTTTTTTTTAGTATTTGAAGCAATGCTTGGAGCATCCATTGTTATATCAATTTCAGCATACAAACAATTTCAAATATAGTTTTACAGCGATAATTCGAACGAGGGATGTCGCCATTGCTTTTTAGAAATTAAAATTTTATTGTGCTAATCTCTGCACGTAATGTTTAATGTAAAGGATTTGGGTTGATGATTCCGTGGCGCAGTTGCCAAGGTGTCGACTTCGGCGCCGCGGGTCGTAGGTTGTATTCCCACGCGGGACAACTATTCGTGTGACCCACAGATAATCGTTTCGGGTCTGGTTGTTTGTCTTCGTGAAATTTATGGATGTAAAACGTCCTTACGGGCAATTAAAATAGTTTCACAAGGAAAATGTTAAAAAAAAGTTTGGTGGTCCCAACGACCACTGCGACCTGTCGAGTCGACGAGGAACAATTGGTCCGTCGCACAAACCAATCATGCCTCGTCCCAGGGCACTACTCTTGTACAAACACAAAGCCTCGTACTCCTCCCGGCCCAGGGCACGACGACGACGAGACGTTCGAGTTCGACGGCGAGTCGACATCCGCCGTGGTGCCCGAGCCGCTGCTGCAGCACTCGCTCGGCGCCACCTTCTCCGTCAGCACGTGGATGCGCCACGCGCCCTGGCCCGACCAGGACAAGCATCGCAAGGAGCACGTGCTCTGCCTCGCCGACGACCACAGTCAGTGCACGCTTTGGCATTATGGGGCGACAGTGATGCTTCAATGTTCATTTACGTTCCCTTACGCTATTAATACAGGGAGGCTCTTTTAAAGGTGCCCAAATTTACACGGGAGGTTCAGACTCTGTAGTATAATCGTTTATTGAAATAAAAGTAAACTTTATTTTTTTCAAAAAAATAACTATTCTATTCCCTAAAAAACATAACTTTACTGTTTTGTATTTTACTGTTCACGCACACAAAGGTACGCACTTTTTGAAATAAATTCAAATGAATGTAATTAGTTACTTACGAGTGATTTTAAATATTTATCATTTTTATATAACATCATTTATGTCTAAGATTTAATAATAAAAAAAAGGATACACTTATAAAAGCCTCCCTGTACACGGCATTGCTTAAACACGCTCCGACAGAAATGAACCGGCACCACTACGCGCTGTTCGTGCGCAACTGCCGCCTCATCCTTCTGCTGCGCCGCGACTTCGGAGAGGGCGACCTCAACATCTTCAGACCCGCCGAGTGGCGCTGGAAGATCCCCGAGGTCAGACCACGTACATTCTATCATTACAATAGCACCAGTAACAACTTGTCCTATAGCTGTTAAACAATTGTCCCAAATTGGTCAAAATTTTCCCGAATTCATATAATTTGTGGAGACACTCTACTGCGCGCAGCTGTCTGAGAACAGACTATTTTGTTTGTGACTAAAATATTAATATTGCATTTAATGTATTGCTGTAACAAATGTGGTAAAAATTTGTAGGTTTTTGAATTAGTCGATGCATACTTTAACTCTGCCAGATGTGTGACAATTCCTAAAAAGCGACATGTTTTCTCGCCGCTCCAGGTGTGCGACAACGAATGGCACCACTACGCGATCAACATCCGCTTCCCCACCGTGGAGCTGTTCGTGGACGGAGAGCCCTACCGCTCCCTGGACGGCAAGGGCCCGGAGGTCATCGACGACTGGCCGCTGCACCCCGCACATGGCGTTAACACCACACTTGTCGTCGGCGCCTGCTGGCAAGGTGACCAAAGCATTTTATTTAGAAAAAAAATTGACTTCCAATGTCCCAAAAATTCTCTGATGTAGCTTAGACTTTACTAAGGTCCAACATTAACTAAATTAATATGAGACCACATAGGAGCTAACCCGAGCGCAATGCCAAAGTATTTTTTTACAATCGGTCCATAACGGAGCTATAACGTAATAAACATAAAAAGTATACAATTGAATTGAAAGCTGGTCCTTCGAACCGGATGTTTAATTTTTTTGCCATGGAACGGGGACTAAGTCCCTGTGTTCATTTCGTTGTCGTTATATTGAAATGACTAGTCATTCTTCAACTTTTTATAGTATTTGCACGAAGTATATTTTTAAAAACAGCCTTTAATCTGTGCAGTAATTTTAACAAACAAAAGATTAAAATATGATGATGAGTGAATTTGTTTCTTGCACCAATTGGTGTGGGTTCGACCCCAAAACTACAAGTATATTGTATGATGAACATAATATTTTTCTAGTGTCTAGGTCTTTATATGTTATATAAAAGAAAAGTAAAAGTTTTTTCTAGAGAACATTGTGTAGAAATGTATCCTAAAATATTTTATATTTTTAAAGTTAAATAATACAGGTTAAGTGTTAGAGACGGTGGTATGTATTGTGTCAGGTACGGAGGGCGACATGAAGCACCACCTGCGCGGCTGGCTGGCCGGTCTGGGCGTGCTGGTGGGCGGGCAGCAGAGCGCTGCTGCGCTGCGCTGCGCTGCCCGCTGCAGGGAGGGCCTCAGCTTGGCCCCTGATCTATGTGAGTGTGATTCAATATAGAAGCATTACACCCACTTATTGATTGTCAATATGCTACTGCCGGTTCCGAAAATAATACCCATTGTGACCTGGGGAGAATATCTTACATAAGTAGGCTGTTCAATGAAAGGGCAATTATATAGTTACGGCTCAGTCAGAGAGCATTGGTGTTCATGTAATGAAACAGTTCGATATTAGGAATATGAACAGGTATTAAGTAGTGCAATCCCCCGTTGGGTCGCTTGGCGGACTGTGCCTTAATAGTCTGCCCAGCGGTGGGACACGCGTGGGCCGCTAGTTGAATCCGCGTTGTGTGTCGGGCAGACCTGCGCTCGGTGTCGGTGGAGGGCGACGGCGCGGCCGAGGTGGAGACGCTGGTGCGCCGCGTGGCCTACGGCGATGCGCGCGCCTTCCCCACGCCCGGCCGCCGCAACGTGCACCTCGCCACCACCATCACGTGAGCCCCACACCACACCACACCACCCCGCCCCACCACATCACTCTTGCTCGCACTCACACACCACCACACAGCCTCGTTGACGCGCAGGAATCAAACCATCGCGTACGCCCCATCCCACCGCCTTGATCTCGTTCACACGCCACCACACACAGTCTTGTCGATTCAAAGGAATCGAGGCTCGGTCGAATCGCGAGCTTCTCAAATTGTTTGCTCTTTTTAATGTGAGAAGGAGGCAAGAGAGCTCGCGGTTCGCCTGATGTTAAGTGACACCTGCCGCCCGTGGACGTGCAACAGCCGTTGGGTTATAGATGAGATGCCGCCTTTAAATAAAATGGGGTCTGTTTACCTCATTTACTACACAAAATGCAAAAGTATAACATATCCATTTTACGCCGGTCATTTGTGAGATCGCGATACTTTCCCGAATGGAGGTTTTTATAAAAAAAGGTATTTTCTTAAGTATGAAAAACTTTCGTTCAATTTTTACCTTTTTTAATCGTATTCTTTGTTCTGAAAACTACCGGTTGTTATCGGTGGTATCATTTCTTTGCCTTTATCGCTGTTTCGGGTGTACCGCAAGGTTTATACCTCGGTCCTATGCTTTTACTGAGTTTCGAGAATGACCAGTGCATAACATAAAGTATAGTTTTATTATTCGCACATGAGAAACAAGGTGCTAAACATGATGAAATGTTTTCATATGATATTAAATCGCGGAAAATTAATCATATACATCTTAAAAACTTTAATCCGTTAGCTTGCAGTAAAAATATAGCATTCAGGATTTGAGAGTACAGGGTGCGGATACAGCGGACTTTAAAAAAAAACATCCTCCCACTTTCTCTGAAAATGAAGCATATTTTCAAAAATGGTGTTAGCAAGTTGTGTTAGTTTTAAAATAACGCGAGGGGCGTGCACGGCGCTGAATGCGCAGGTGCGACAACGGCGTGGTGGTGCGCGCGCGGCCCGCCGAGTCGTTCGTGATGGTGCTGCCGCCGCAGACGCCGCGCGTGCAGCTCAACGGCAGCGGCGACGCGGCGCGCGACTACGCGCACTTCCGCCAGGGGCTGCGCGTCTTCCCCGACCTGCGCGTGCGCGTGCTGGCGCGCGACGAGCAGGGTACGTCCCCCGGCCCTCCCCCGATCCTTCCCCTGCCGCGCCCGCTCACCGCTCGCCCGCCCCGCTCGCAGAGGCCGCCAGCCAGCGGCTGGACTCGTGCGTGGTGTCCGTGTACCCGGCGCTGAACCCGGACCACGAGGCGCTGGCGCTGCGCGAGGGGCTGCTGCCCGCCAGCGACGTGCGCGCCACGCTCACGCGCGACGGCGTCAGCCTCGCCGGGGCCGACTCCGTCGACGCCTACCAGCGGGTACGGCGCCTGACAATCTTCCTGTGGTCACGCTAATATATTCGCTAGACAAAAGGCAATGGATGTGAATGTGGTGCGACAGGTGCTGCGATCCATCGAGTACAGCAACAAGAAGCCGGCCTACTACCTGAACCGCGTGTTCAAGCTCACCTGCTCCGAGCTGAACGGCCGATTCACCAGCAACGAATACGTGCAGACCGTGAGTGCTTCGGCGGACGTTCCTCTCCTCTTATAAAGTTTGGCCATGTCAATTCGACTCCAAAGTTACTATCTGTACACATATCTATGAACGACAGTCATCTGCATCATATAAGCGATACAATCAAGTATTAGTCATTTAGGCTCCTCCACTATTTGGGGAAACTGTGAAACATATGAAGATTAGATGATCAAAGTACATTTTAATCATAGAAGACATTTGCAAATTATGAAAATTTTTATTCATCATAGTCGATAATTTCTTGGTTATCTTTAAAACGTTTGAATGGATTGGAGTCGTGTTAAACATAATAAAATTTATGCTTCGTTAATCTCCAACTTATGGGATTCTGTTATGTGTCTTCACATGTTTTGATATTCTCTTCCTTCGCCAGTAAAACGTCTTTGGCGTTCAGATGTGCAGCTAATTGAGAAGGTGGTTGTCGATTCGCTGATTTATTTATTTGTTTGATATTTCGCAGCTGACGGTGGTGCACCCGCACGCCGCCGCGGCAGAGGCGGGCCACGCGCTGCGCCCTAGCGGCCTGGCCGACAAGCTCGACGCCGTCGCCAGGGATAAGGTCACTTCTTACCACCACTCCCTTATCGTCATTTAAGTTTCTAGCGAGCCATATCTACTCAGCTCTAGCTCAGTCTACTCACCAGGTCATTTTCATATCCTCATAATAAAGTACATCAGTTTTTACATTGTCACGTTTGCAAATTGATTACATTTAATATTTTTTTTATATTTTAACGGTAAAATGTTACCACTAAACCAATGCACTACAGTGGAGAGATTATTTTTAATATCGTCGTAATGTAAAGCAAACGATATTACCTCATTATAATTTGTACATAAGGAAGAGAAAAGACCCAAGAATAAATCCCTGCGGGACCCTATGAGGGCTTCGGGAGATCTCTTGGCATTCACATAAACTTTGGACTGGAGGAGGGCGCACCATGTTCTCCAAGGTGCACTCGGCAGCTGTCCCCGTTTAACGGAAGAACCGTCTGACCCTTAGACGCACGGCGGCAGCGGCGGCAGCGGCGGCGGCTTCGCGGCGACGGCCCCGCGCGTGTTCGCGGCGCACGCGATGCGCAGCGCGCACTCGGCCGACGCGCCGCAGCCGCGCCTGCTCGACGCCCGCCCCGACGCCCCCGCCAGTCAGTGCCCCGCCCCCGACTGTGGCGTAGCATTGTCGTGTGGTGTAAACAAGTTAGGACCGTGCGACCCGCAGAATAGAAACAATCATCTGTGGGTCGCACGGATAGTTGTCCGGTATGGGAATCGAACCCACGATCTTTGCCGTCGAAACCGATACCTTGACGAGTGCGCCACACAGCCATGTTTCGTCACTCGTACACACGAAACTACATAATCGCCCGCCATGTGTCCCCCGCAGACCACGTGGCGCTGGTGATCGGCGCGGTGTGCTGCGGCGCCGTGGTGGCGCTGGTGGCGCTGGGCGTGGCGCGCGCGAGGGCGCTCCGCCCCTCCGGCCGCGCCTCCGCCCGCCCCCGCCCGCTGCCGCCCCGCGGGCCCGACGAGATGGCCTGGGACGACTCGGCGCTCACCATCACCGTCAACCCCATGGACGATGAGGTGCCCCCCTTTGCATGTATTATTTTAATCCCGAACACGGCAGGTGATATGAAACTCGCACCGGTGCACTACCACGGAACGCATATTTAACTATTGCACGACCACGCGACAATGTTGACTGTGGCACGAATGGGTAGGTCCCTTCGGGTAAATACTACGACCTCACAGAAGAACGGCGTAAAGTTGTTAAAAGATGTTAATGACATGGTAGCTGTATTTTATAAAACACTTCAAGAAGTTATAAATAAACTTATTCCATACTATAAACCTTACAAATCTAAGTACCCTCCCTGGTTCAATCAAAGTCTAATTAAATTATTGAATGAAAAGAACAGAATTAGAAAACGCTATAATAAATATAAAAGCCCTATGGATTGTGTCGAATTGAATTTGCTTTCTAAACGCTGTAAAACTCTTCCACAAAATGTTACAATTTTTACATTAACACCATTGAGAAAGATATGATAAAAACACTAAGCTTTTCTGGTCATTCATTAAGAAAAACATAAAACTTCGAGTTATCCGACTTGCATATCCAATGGAGCCTGAACTGTAACCAGTCCTTTAGAAATAAGTAACATTTTTGCAGACTATTTTTCATCAGTATACTGTCAAGAAAGGAACAATAATGATGAATTGGGTTTGGATGTCGATTTGAATGGGTTATGTCTCACAATGATAACTATAGATAAAATGAGTATGCTTAAAACATTAGAAACATTAGATGATAAAAAAGGTAGCGGTCCTGATGACGTTGGTCCATTTTTATACGTAGATGTGCAAAAAATTTTGCAACTCCTCTATATTTCATATATAACGAATCCCTGAAATCATTCCCACATAAATGGAAATTAGCAAAAGTGGTACCCGTATTTAAAGAATGAGATACGGCATTAGTTAACAACTATAGACCTATCTCGATTTTATCTACTTTTGCAAAAATGTTTGAATCTTTAATATGCCCAATAATTCAGTTTCACATAAAACAAATAATGACACCGCACCAACATGGTTTTGTTCCAGCACGCTCAACAACAACTAATCTAGGGACTTTTTGCAACTTTTTGAGAGATGCATTAGATAACCAGAAACAGGTGGACGTAATTTACACCGATTATAGTAAGGCGTTTGATCGCGTATCACATCATATTCTATTTACGAAACTTTCTAAGTATGGTTTTGGGGGTTCTTTGTTAAATTGGTTTCGATCTTACTTAAAAAACCGGGAATTTTTTGTGGCTCTATGTCGTTATCGCTTCTTTTCCCACAGTGTAAGTTCTGGGGTTCCACAAGGTTCTCATCTAGGTCTAGTCTTATTTAATATATTTATTAATGATATATCTACTATTTTCAAGCACTCTAAACCATTTCTTTATGCTGATGACCTTAAATTTGCAAGAATAATTAACACATTCGAAGATATTCGATATATTCAGGACGACCTAGATAGACTCATTAGATGGTGCAACAGAAATGATATGACTCTAAATGCTCACAAATGTTGCCATATTAAGTTTTGTCGTAAAAAGAATATAATTCCATCGTTATATGATAAAAAGGAATCAATTATTAGGGAGGTTGAATGTGTTAAGGATTTAGGTGTTTTGTTTGATCAAAAACTAACATTTGTACCACATTATGACTGGTTAGTATCAAAAGCGGGAAAAATGCTAGGGTTCGTAATGAGAAATGGTAGGGTCTTTCGCAACATAGAAACAAAAAAAACACTACACTTCAGCTTGGTGCGCAGTTGTCTTGAATATTGCAGTGTTGTTTGGGGGCCACATTATTCTACGCATTCTTTAAGATTGGAGAGTTTACAGAAACGGTTTTTATGGCACATTGCAAAAACATCATGCTTAGATAAAAAATTTAACTTTAATGTCCCTCGTTCTTGTCCACGCACTAAACTAATACCCCTAGCGCCTCCTCTTAAGAGAACTGTTTTTGGGAGCTAAGTCAATTGTCCCGCGCTTGTTTGCTCTAGCAAATAAGTTCTCCGACAAAATTGATTTTAATTGCGATTCTTTACTTCAATGTCGCCACATTATTCTAAGCCATGGTTGACAAATTGTGTCCACGAGAAACAATTTTTTTTTGTTATAAATTCATTTTTTTGTAATGTTTGTGTTGTTACGCTGGATAAAGGTTTTTTTTTTACACTTATGTCAACATAATAGCTGTATTCTATTTTTATTTTAATATTTTTGTTTTAGTTGTATTTTTTTCTCTTTAACATACATTTACTTACAAATACGTGAATCTCTTAATGTTGTGTTTGCCTATAATTTGGATGTGCAATTAGTTTTGAGCATTTACAATATTGTATAGATGACCTAAGTAAGTTTTATTGTCACATCTGCAGGTGAGCTTAATAAATAAAAATAAAAATAAAGTCGAAGGGTATACTTCTGCGTTTCGTCTGGTGAGTGTGGTAGCCAGAACTCGCTCTACGGCAGTTATAGCTTGCCACCTTCACGCAGGGCGGCGCCGGCGAGTGCGGCCGCGTCGGCGGCGACAGCTCGGAGGGCGAGTCCGGCTCCGACTCCGACTCCGACCACCACGACGACGACGACGACGAGCGTACGTCAGCCCGCTCGCTCTGCCTCTGCCTCTCCCTCGCCCGACTCGCTGTCTCCCTCACTCCTCGAGGAAACATTACACTCACACGCTCTAACAACTTCCACTCTCCCCCACCTTCACTCTGTGTTAAATCTTCGTATGTCGATGCCAACATAAATGATAATAAACTTCATTAAAACACTATTATGAAATCAGTAAACAATGATAAATTATGACACGATATGATAATTTGAGAACATGTGGTTTACTTGATGACCGAACGTAAACTTTAGATACTCTTTAGGTGAAAAGGTTTTGTACAACAGCGAAGCGAACACCGTCTGATTCCGATTTCACGTTTGGAAATTCCTCAAAAGAGAAAACGTGTGTATATCACATTCGAAACAATTATTTAAGGCATACATAGCTTTCTGCTCCTTGCACATTAAATCTACCTTTATTACTTCGCCAGATTCCCATCCAACTACTCTAATACTTGTACTTATTGTTTTGTTCTTTTATTGTACTGCTACTTTACTTAGACAGTCAATCTAGTGTGACCAAAGGAACAATCACCGAGTAATGACCCCACAATTGCGATCCGCAGCGTTGCCGGGCAAGCAGCACAAGTACCGGAACATCAGCCAGCTGGAGTGGGACAACAGCACGATGTAATGCGCCCCGCGCACGCGGCCCGTACTTACGTCGTCCGTCTCGCTCGCACCCGCGCGCGACCCCGTCCCCTCTCGCTCGCACTCGCCGCGCGCCCGCATCGCAACTTGGCCGTGTAATAGCCATTCTAGATTCGGCCCTTTGACGTTTTTAACGGAACTTTTACTCATATAACTCATAAACACACTTTGTACTAATCGTTTATTAAATAACGCTAATACGGCCATTTGACGTCGCGCATACAACTTTTCCATAGTCAAAGTACGGTTAACGGAATTGATTTTGTAGCTTCTCTCGACAGATCGTCCGCCTGTCTAGCGCTAACGTGTATGCGACCCTATCGCGTCGCAATAGGGCGCATTTCGGCGCGCACCCACTAAAGCTTCAGCACTTCGCGGCACAAGACTTGGTACTATAAGATTTGTTAGTCTCTAAATACTAAGGTCTCAAAATTGATCATATCAAATTTATACGTAATCGATAATTTCCCGCTCGCTTGCTTCGTTAGTGAAACGCTGAGACTCGTCCGTCTGTGCGTAGAGCTCTTCGACACTTTTCTATTGGTTTTCTTACGTAAGTGAAAAGATGTATGTAATGATAGAGATAAATTTAAATAAAATCAGTAGTTGTCGTAATTTGGTATGGAGTCGGATATTTAAGAGGAAACTAGCGTTAAGTGGTAACACTGTTTGTATATTAACTACATTTAAGTGAACGCTTCGGCCGGTTGCGAGCAATCGGACGCCACTTCGCCACTAATACTTCCATTTCCCTCTTCGTTAACCCCCCGCGCACTTCCGAAGTGCCACTTCTCACTGTATCCTTCGGCCCAGCCGAGGCCGCATCAAACCACCCGACAAACGGCATCGGTACAATTCGTTTACGGTACAAAGATCGCAGCCTCACGAGTAGATTTTACGTGTTAACGATAATGTCCAATCACTTTTAACCCTCTATGAGCTTCTTGAACAAAAAAAAATCGGCTTAAAACGTACTTTAGGCACAGAGTTATGTGGAAAGAAAAATACATTCATAGATGTACTATATTATACAACTACTATATTAAACGGTATCGTTTTAGGATCAGCTATAGATATTATATCATAATTATATATCTATACGTGTCTTTATATATATTTATGTATTTCGAATGAGTTAAGGTAATTTTTACTAATATTTAGGTACTAAGTGGCATCGTGCTAGGTACGCGCACAAGTGGGAAATGGCGGCAAGGCCCTTGTACGTAGCTAAGTTTACCGTTTACTTTCCGTCGCATGTTCCGAGGCTGCGTCGCTCGATCGCCGGGGCGAGGGGGTGAGGGTGAGGGGGCGGGGGGAGGGCGGGGGCGCCGCTGCCTGTCCCAGCGTGCCCCAGGGCGCTCCGCTGGGACCGTCTCCCTTATCGCATTCGCGCCGGTCCCCCTCCCCCTCCGCCGCCCCCTCACGTGCCCGTCTCGCATATCATGGACTTTGCCATATTAGCGTAGATTAACTACTGTAAGCGCACTCGTCTCTACAAACTCTAAGCAATCGTTGTCGACATAATCATTGGTGTAGTTTTCTATGTTGTCTGTGGACGCGCTGTGACTGCGCTTTGTTGATTTTGGCGGGTCTCGACGCTGTTGGTATGTTCAGCGCTTTAGCGCTTTCGGGGGTCTAGGCCCGTGACGTCACCGGGAGCCGCTGCGAAGCTGAGCGTGGGACTCGCGTACTTTGTTTTCTTTCTCTTTCTCGTTGAACTCGTTAAGTTTGTTTCTACTCGACAACCGTCCAACGACCATTTCCCCGTCGCTCAGTGAGCCCAAGATCTGACCCGGCCCCTTAACACCACGTACACTCGGCGCCAGCAAAAAGCACCGCGAATGTACCGAGGCGACTCGGACTCATTCTTTACATAACATACTATAGTCCATTTAATTTTCAACATTATTCCTTTTTTTTTAATAATAATTATTATTTTGTATTATCGCGGTATTACTACCTTATAATTAGGGAACTTCTTTGATGTATGAATTATTATATTTTAGCTAAAAATAAAGTTGGTTTAAAATATTGCATCGTTGTTTCCTTTAAACCTTACCCACTTTCTTTTCTTGATGACTAACTACCTACATAAGAAAGCTACAGAAACGTTGGTTTGAACCTCTATCTTTTCATATAACGATTCCCACACAGGGGAATAGCGACGTAAAGAACTGTTCGATGCTATGCACAGTTTAATTAAATTAAATTTACGATTTAGTAACTTACAAACTAGCTCTTACGCCGCTTGTGATTACGGATTACTCTTGCACGCATGACCTGCGGGAAACCTATATTCTTAAACCAGGTGAGAATGTGCAAAGACTGTACACAATTCATGTATATACATAAATAATGCACATTTAGTAATTTAAAATTTTTATCCGTAACAATCATTACACTGGCACAATTATTTTATTAATATCCATATTCCAAATCACCCACCGTAAATTGCAGTCCAATAAGTTATTCTTTTGTTTTTCCTGTGTCAACATTTTTTTCGTTTTCTACAATTTATTTAAATATAAACATATTTTAAAGTGGAATAGTTAAGAAAGTTGAAGCTAGTGAAACAGTGCCATAAAATTGACATCTATACAGCGTGTCGTTACAACCGCGACAATAAATGAACACACATATAGAGGATAACTTTTTAAAATTGTATTAAGCATTAACATTATTTAAACATCAAACCAATATTTACCGAATTATTAAATTTTACAAAACAAACATTTTTACAACACCCTTACTTATAAAACTGTAACGTAAAGTTCATTTGTAAAGGTCACAAAGCATATGAATGGGTTTAATGAATTTAAAAGAGATAAAACATACAGTTAGAAGGAGAGACTTGTAATGCGACGTTTTGGCAACGAATGAAAAAGTCTCTGAATGTATTGATCAGTAATTTGTAGTTGTATAGGATGTTACAAATTTTGTTTCTTTTTTATTTAATTAGTTTGTTTGAAAAATATTTTATTTAGATCTTTTGCCGCATCTGAAACCTTGATGCCTTGCCGGTAGTGTCCGACCCAATGTTCGGTTTCGGCTTCGACAAAAAAACTAGTTTCGAAACTGCATTCGGGAGTTCTCGCGCTATGATTGGTTATGATCACAGCGTTAAATGCCATCCATGCAAGCAAGCGATGAAGACTAGCGATGGGTAGTTGAAGGTTTTTTCGTCAACGTTGATTCATGTTCGCCAACTAGTTAAATTCGTGAACTAGCCAATGTGATGCTGTCAATTTGGATGAATGAATGGATTTTATTTGACGCTGCGACGTTCAACGAGTCTAAATCGTCTGACAACTGAATAATTAATAAAAACACTATTTAATTAAAAATTAATAAATTTACAAATAAAGACACCATAAGCATCAAGTTAAATTCTGATAATATTTATGTAAAGCCGCAAAATAATCTCTGACCTTACGTGCAACTGTTCATAATTTGTCACACAAAAATTTAAGGAAGCGAAAATTCTTTAAAAAAAGTGGCTCTAAAATTATTGTCGGCTTTTACATTTTTGTTTTTGTTTACTGAAAGTCATATGAAATGAGTGATTTATTTTGTTTTGTTTATTACTTAAACATTTAGTCTATTACTATTGTGATATTAGGTAACAACTTAAATAGATAATGTTATGTTTAATATTTAAAATAATCATGAATAATATTCAAAAGAAAAATCTAACTATTCAAATAAACCTATTTTAAGTCTTTTTTTTAAGGTGCAATTAATATTCTTTTCTTATATGGGGTTGTTAAGTTGATTATCATACCAATAAGTGACAATTTCGAAGATTGTATAACTATATGATATAAAGATATTTATTTTTCCCTCAAAACATGATCCTTTTATAGAAGTTTCGGTTTCGGTTTCGGCCGAAACTCAGACTGTTGCCGAAATTCGGTTCCAGTTTCGGCTCAAAAACCAGTTGCGGTCGGACACTACTTGCCGGCCTAGGGACCTAGATTTATTATAATCATGGTACATAACGTATAAAGGCAACCCACAACACGCTGTCTACCTACAAAGTACATTAATGATGTTCATTAATTAATATTCTAAATAAACTGTAGACTTCTAAATTAGTTTTGTCATTGGCTACAATGCATCAGCCAAAGTGAAACAAACCTGTCGGGCAATAATCTAAGCTAAGAATTAAATTTTAATTAAGTAAATAAAGGAATAAAAATGCGATCAAAATTAGCTATTATCGAACGATAATTTCAAAAAATAATGATGAACTATACACAGTACATATAGTTATAAACTTAAACATAGTAAATAAAAATGAATGCTGTTAAGCGATAACTCAAGAATGGCTACCAATTTGGCTATTTTATATTTTGAGTATAAAATTCCTAGGAAGGTTTTAATACTATAAAAAGAAAGAATTCGTTTTTAATAAAAATCAAATATAGGTACTTTTTATACCAAGTCCGACGCTTGGGTTCAACGCCACCTATTACACCAATCTTTAAAAGACCTGGTTTAAAGTAACCAGTTACGCCATCTATTGATTAAATGAGACACTGGTTAGTGATCTTTTCCTTTCTAGACGGAAAATAAAATTTTGCGTTAGAGTATATCGCCATCTACTTAGTTTTTACTACAACTCGTACAATTTTCTTTCTTTCTTATAAGCCAAAACATTCGAAGAAGAAAGGAAGATAGTAAAGGTAAAATACATATTTTAATTAGTAGGTATTCGTTTATTGTAAAGGATGGCTAAATTGGCTCCAAAATTTCAACTTTTGATTTACTCAGAAAAGTTATAGTTTTATAAAAATTATATTTAAAAAAATTGGCGAAAACGTATTTTTACCCTGTGATGGCTAAGGAAACCTACATAACCTTTGTTGCTGAATGAATATGCCTCACAATAGAGATTGGTACCTACACACTAGAGGGTGTTGTGGGTATCAATTAGCTGCAGGAGTACTTAATCACTATAAGGAGAAAAATGCTTGTTCCATCGCTATGTTTTTAATTAAACATAACTCTTACTTGACCGCATATTTCTAATATTACGTTTCGACATCGTTTTCACGCCGAATGACAATGACATTGGAAAGCAGACGTCCATCCGTAGTATTTTTTTAACACTGTCCTTACTTTAGGATAACATTATCCTGTGTTTTAAGTACGTTTAACAAACATAAATCTCACGTGGACAAACATCCAGATGCGAAACAATTATCTGTGGGTTACAAAAATAGCTGTCCCGTGTGGGGTTCTAACCCACGACCCCTGACGCCGATACCTTGGCAACTACGCCACGGAGTCCTCAAACATAATATGTCTGAGGAGACTCGGTGGTACAGTAAAGTAATACTTTTACATATTATATAAAAGTATAACTTTACTCTTGCGGACGTCACGGACTCTCAGCGACGCAGGTGGTGTCAACCGCTACCGAAATCCACTGGAACTGCATCTCACTTCACTCCGATACTAACGGGTGTAGACTTCGTTTAGGTAGGTTTTTTATGTGAGAAAGTGGCAAAAGAACTGTAGGTTCACCTGATGTTAAGTGATAACCGCCGCCCATGGAGATGTGCAACACTCGTAGGGTTGCAAATGCTTTGCCACCTTTAAATAAAGTAGGCCCCGGCTACCTCACTCACCAGACGAAACGCAGAAGTGTATTTATTTATTTATTTCATGTGAAAAGTTGTCAAACGAGCAGACGGTTCACCTGATGTTAAGTGAATACCGCCGCCCATGGACATCTGCCACGAGGGTTACAGATGCGTTGACAACTTTATGAAAATTGGGCTCCGGCTATCTCACTCACCATACGAAACGCGAAAGTATTTGTCACACTTCCACTTTACGCTGGTCTTCTGTGAGGTCGTGGTACTTACCCGGACAGGCCAGTTACCCCATTCGTGCAACAGCCGAGGCTGCTGCGTGGCCCTACCACCGTTAAATGTAACACTAATTCTACTTTACGCCGGTCTTCTGTGAGGTCGTGGTACCTACTTACTGGCCATTCGTGCAACAATGTTGCGTTGCGGGTAGTTACATTAATTTTTATATTGCAAAATCCTGTACAATAAAATAAGTGTTGTAATTATGGTTTCATTTGGTTTCTCCGGCTGCGATATCCGTAATTCGTAGGTAGATAAACATGAGGGGCAAGCACGAATATACACAAACACTGCATACGCATACATAAACCGTTAATTGTAAGACAACATTAATTGTAAGTAAATGTCAAAAAGTTGTTATAGGTTACCATGGTAATACCGTGACATGTCGCTTTTTAGCGGTCGGTGTGCGCATCTGAAAATGATTACTCTCATATTTTTTCAATTATTTTGAAAGTTTAAAATCGGTTTATAATATCGGTTAATAACAAGCATACAACCGAATTAAGAATCTCCTCCCTTTTTGAAGTTAGATGAAAATAGGATTTTACCTTTTACCTTTTTCTTTTCATAACCGGGTCTAGCCTCCCAAAAATTCTTTTATTGCCAGTTCCATCATTCTTTGGAATAGATTGCCTGTTGACTTGCGACAATCGCCAAAGAAATGTTTTATAAGAAGACTGTTTCGGCTGAGATATCTTTGCTGGTAAAGTTCAGTCTTAGCTACAGTATCTATAGATCGTAAGTATTTTGTACGAATATTTGGTAAGTATGTGCTTAGGTATATATAATATGGTATGGCGTATAATATTTTAGAAAGTATATTGTGAATGTATATCATTATATATATATATATATATTCGTATGTATATGTATAAATGCAGGTATGAATTAAATATATTCCCTCATTAATAATGATTATTAATTTTGTACAGTTTGTCAGTGCAATAAAGATTAAGTAAAATCAATAAAGACCTCAGCCTCTGTCGTAGGGTGCCCTGTGCGCCGTTGCGCAAACCTCACAAGATCGACGCCAAACACGCTGTATAATGCACGCGCCGGGGCCCGCCTAATGAGTGCGAGAGGGACGGCGAATGGGGACGGACGAGAGCGCGAGCGAGCGAGCGCGCGGCCAATGCAAGTGCGCATCGCCGCAGAGCGGGACGCAGCTATCGCGGACGTCTGGTGATGAGGAGGGGCGAGAGATGCCGTTGGTGAATTATTGAGGGCGGCGACCGCCCTTTGGGCTGAGAATGCCGGGGGCGGAGGGGCGAGGAAGGAGGGGGGCGGGGGGCTGGCGAAGACCGGGGGGCGCTCGCCTTTCCACCGTCACACCATTTCGCGAGCTGGCTGCGCGGTCTCGGGCCAGAAGACGGCGCGGCTGTGATGACCGCGTTGCTCACTTGCTGGTGACTGTCGGTTTAGCAGGTGGTGGGTGGCGAACGGACGGTGAGCAGCGGACGGCGCGGATTCAGTGCTCGATCCGTGTGATGGAGGAGGCGGCTTGATTGGTGACGGATTACATAAGGCAGGTAGGTATCGTTCATTATCAAACATCGTTATTAATCATATAGGTAACAATAAATTTTAAAAAATGATATAAAACAAAAAAAAGCAGACAAGAAAATTGATATAGGTATAACTAAAAATTGATATAAAGCTTTAATCATTGAACTTATATTTTGTTGTAAAATTGAAATTATGTTTGTAAAATTGAAATTATATTTAAGTCAGGACTCTCATGTTTTAAATCATTAATATTTAACAGTAATCATTTTAAATGAATGAAGTAAAGACTTTTATTTATGATCTCACTTATGTACCTACAATTTTATTTCGACTGATTAAGAACGGCCTAACGTGAGTTTTTAGTACGGCATTAGAATAAAAATAAATATAATTAGTTACTTTAATTTTAATTCTATTTATAAAAGTATCTACATCGATGCAGAATACGCAACCTTTGACTTCAAAACACAACCACTTACGCGATATCTTATAACCAAGAATTTGTTATCAAGTTAGGTATATTTATTACAAATGAATAATAAATTCACACTTCTGACCTTAGCAGACGTAGGATCTCAAATATACTAAAAAAAATGATATGCAATTATGTTTGAGAAATCTAATAAATTAGTAAAAACAATACACACAGTCACACAATCACGTATTAAAATTAGATATAAGAAATTTGCGAGCCTTGGTGAATCATAACGTGCTGGTGTAAGTTTAATCTTATCCGTGCAAAATTATATTCAAGCAAATTATTAAAGTTCAAATTGATGGTTAGCCGTAACTAGAAGACGTTGAGTACAGTTACTCTATTCCATAGAGTAAGTAACTCGTTCATAGGGCTATATAATTATATACGCTTCTGCAACAAAATCCCAGTTAATGCGCAAACCCTGTTTATAAACTGGTTTAAGAAATGTATTAAAGAAAAACTTTTTAAAAATGTTTATTATAATATAAATGAATACATTAATGATAACAACCCCTTGAAATGAGATGATCGTTTCTAAGTTATTATTATTAATATGTATATAACGTTTTAATATTTCGTGGAAAAAATTACAAAAAAGTGGATACCTACGTTGCTTTTGCCTGCTTATTCTTCGTTAGAGGAACCTCATTACGAAACGGGGGTACATTTAAAAAATGATTATCGATAATGAAATATACGCTTTCTTGTTTCGATGAACAAATGATTTGATTTGACTACCTATTTTACAACCTGTCTCTCCACTAAGTACGAGCACATAACACATTGTACCTTCCGTAGTAACTGTCTAATCCTTCACGACTAACACTTCCCGATGGCGGCATCAAAGTAAGGATAAGGCTTAATCCTTCCGGCTTCCTTAAACCGATATATTTGCAAACATCCCATTATCCGATGATTCCAAAGGGACCGCCAGGAAGCAGTGTCTACGAATTCCGTATTACTCTTTGGCACTCTTTTATACTCTTGGGCAGTTGTTTTTACCCGGTGGCAGTATTGCAAAGGTGTTATGATCGACTTCCATTATGTATTTAGAAAGTGAATTTAGTTAATGGTGACATACTTATTGTTAGGAGTGTATAAGAAACCCGTTACCGTGTACTATTATGTTCTCTTAGCAGAGGTAAGAGGGGTAATAAATGACCCACAGGTAGGGAATGCTGATATCTACTTACATAATAATTTGGTTTTTCTAAAATGACGCATGTCCATACTGCGCGGCGCTTATATATTGTTCCGCTTTACATATATAGTTGAACTTTAGGTCCGTGGGGCCCCCACACATCAATTTTTTTTTAAAGTTTATGTCCTAGGCTTAACGCCGCGGCTGGTGACAAGAGAGCTGGTTCTTTTCTCGCTCAAAGGTTAAGCATAAATATTCAGCGAGGAAATGCAGCTAGCGTTCTTGGCACCATGCCGCGTGCATTAGGTTTATTAGATAATATTTAATTTTAGATAGAGTTAATCTTGTAAATATTAGATCATTGAAAACTAAAACTTTTGTAGTAAATTGAATGTGACAGATTATATAAAAATGTATGATACGATGCTTTCATTATGTATACTAGACACTTTTACGCTTTATAGAAAACAGTTATGTGCATCAAAATATTTATAAAATTTTCCAGTCTTATTTTAAAAATTGCCACCACAAGCCGAGCTCAGCAACTAGGTCGGTTAATTAATAAATTAGCCTATTTTTATTAACGAAAAACAAAACCGACTTCAAATATCTTGCTCCGTGCTCATTTTATAATTGATTTTCAGTATTTCCCTAAGTATTTCCGGAGCCCAAGATCCAATACCAATTAAATTAATATGGGGTCACATGGGAAGCACCGGCTTTCAAAGCCCAATCAGTCGAAAGTTCTGAGGTAACAAACATCAAAAAAAAAACAGTCGAATTGAGAACCTACTATTGAGAACCTTTTGAAGTCGGCTTAAAAAGTATATTAAACCTTGTGATAGAAATATCTGTTATTAGAACGACGATATTTTTTAACTTCTTCGTTTTCCAAGCAACTGTACAAGCAACATCATTAATGCTTCGTAAAACGCAACTCGATCGAACTATCGTCGTCCCCAACTCGAGTATAAAGCACGAAGCAATTAATCCGTCCCGTAGTCAATAAAGGCGCGAGCGAGCGCCGTCCCTCCAACGTTCCGGCTCAATCGTCTGAACGGAATCCATTAACCCTCACGGCAGCCTTAACAAGCACCATAGCGGACGTGTCGGAGGCACGAAAGCTCCGGCCCTGCGGAGGGCTAATTTGATCGCGGGGGGCGGTGCCATACCTGAGGGGTCAGGTGCGAGAGTCAAGGCCCATCTCTCCGCTATATCGTCGCGCGATTTCGGGTGAAGGGTTGTCGCAATTAATGCGGCCTACCCTCCACTATGCGACAGTGTCACGTAGGTGTGAAGATTAACACTAGATTTATCACGGGAACGAACAGGCTACGATCCCTCCGCATGTGACAATGCGCGTTAATAAAAAAGAGATAAGCCAATGTCGATGCGTTTGTAAAAGGCGGTTTAAGTGTTGCACTCATATATCATGTCGAAACATAAAAACATTATGTGAATACATTTATGTACAACAAATGCTAATATACCCCTTAGCAATGTAACAGTTAATATTTCATTCTTCGCTATTTTGCTTTTTAGGGTTCCGTGCCCAAAGGGTAAAATGACTAGAGGACCCTATTACTAAGACTACAGACTTTTTGTCTGTGTGTACTTCTGTTCGTCTGTAGCTCTTGTATCGTGATAGTTATATAGTTGACTTTTTCGAATTTTCAAGTGGTCCCATACAACGGATATGATTTTTTTGCCGTTTTTATTACGGAACCTGTCGCGCGCGCGTCCGACTCGTTTATACATATATGATAGTTTGTTCTGAATAGAGCTCTACGTTCTATTTCTCCAATGTTTTATGAGAAGGTTACAATCGATTTGCAATTTGCATTTTAATTTTAATAAAGTGGCCTCACGAAGGCCTCGCCCGACGAAACGCAGATGATGTCCCTTCCACTTCACCCCGGTCTTCTGTGAGGTGGTGGTACTTGTCCTGACGGACCTGCCCATGCGTGCAACAGCGAAAACTGTTGCGTGGCAACCACTGTTAGATTAGTCCCATATTTTTTAAGCATTCACCTGCCAGATTATATATGTTACATTTTATGACTTACACCTAAAATTCACATTTTTGCATTCGCTTAGAGGGGCATTGAACCTTCAAGACAGCAGTATTCGCGCACATTTTAAAGATTTGACAAAACGGTTCTTCGATAGAGTCCAGCATCATCCCAACCCTCTGGTGGTAAGCGCAGCAAACTACCAGCCGGACACTAACGCGAACGTAAACAAGCGTCGCCCGCGAAACGTCCTCATCGACCCGGTCGACGAAGAGGACTTAGATACGATGGACCCACCGCCGGGGGTCCCGCCGGATAACACTACACCCACAGTTAGTGTAACAACAATCGCACCAGTTCGCCCTCGCCTCCGAGCACGGCGAGACCCACACAACGCGTACACAAGGTACACCCGCGTTCCGGGGTGGTTTTCACCGCTCCCAGCCACCGATTAGCTAAATGCACAGTCGACGGCCGTCGGGGTCTCGGTCCGAACCGCGACCTCGACGGCCCTTAGATGAAACACCATAATTAAACGCACGCATGAGCACATGCGCGACCCTACCCATAGCGGAGGGTCCAAACCCGTGGGTTCTGGCTAGCCCACCGGTTCTGCGTCCGATGAAGCTTTAATAGTCTCGGGACTGAAAGCAAAAACATCAGTTAATACAAGATACAAGACAGCAGTAGATTTTGTAAGTTAATAAAAGTAAAGTAAAGACCTTATGAAACATAGTAAGATTATTCCGGTGTTCAAATCTGGTAGTACTTCTCACCCCAGCAATTTTAGACCTATTACAGTACTACCAACTCTTAGTAAAATTTTTGAAAAAAATATTTTGAATCAAATGTTACTCCATTTTAGTACACATAAATTGTTGCATAACAAGCAATATGGATTTACTAGGGGTCGCTCAACAACAGATGCGGATAACCAGCTTGTGAAGAATATTTTTGAAGCCCAATTTTCAAAAGGTTGTCAACGCATCTGTAACCCTCGGGTGTAGCAGATTTCCATGGGCGGCGCTATTCACTTACCATCAGGTGAACCGTCAGCTCGTTTGGCAACTTTTCAAATAAAAAAAAAAAAAAGAAGCCTGGGAAGAGTCACAGGATGCCTTAGGTATATTCTGTGACTTAACCAAAGCATTTGATTGTGTACAGCATGACACTCTGGTCAGGAAACTACACCACTATGGTATAAGAGATGCCACACTCAGTCTTCTGACATCGTACTCGAGCTATCGTGTTCAGAGAGTTGACGTGAATGGGATAGATCTCCCGGGGCCCTGGTAAGTATGAGGGTTCCACAGGGATCTATTCTGGGGCCTTTTCTCTTCCTCATCTACATAAATGACCTGCCCTATCTTGTTAATAATGATCATGAGATAGTATTGTTTGCTGATGATACTTCTTT